GTATGTCCCCCAAAGAGCGTTACACTCTGTTGAGAACAAGTTACTGGTGATCTCTGGCCCAGAAGTTATCCAGCTGTCCTTAATCAGGGCCAGGGCCTTTTCTGCCATGGCCCCGGCTTGGTGGAACTCTCTGCCAAATGACATCCATGCTCTGCGGGACCTTATGCAGTTCTGCAGGGCTTGCAAGGCAGAGATGTTCCTCCAGGCCTTTCGTTGAGGACAGCGACGGACACCATCCTGGATGGCGCTTGCTCTCTCCTACTCCCCCCATTCCTACCTGTCCCCCTACAAGACAGGGACACAGTTGAAACTGGATGTACTTACGCCATCTGAACACTGTTCTATGGAATTGTTTTAATTGGTTTTTAAATTATTGTTATTGTTTGATTATATGTTTTATTATCGTTGTTCATCACTCAGAACCCTGAGTACTCAGGGACTGAGTGATTTATAAATACAGTTTATTAGTAAATAAATAAATATTGGGAAATGCTTGAATGCAATGGCAAGGGGGAGTGTTTATGTGTGTTTGGGGCGTGAGTGGGACCCTTGTGACCAAAAAATTCAGATTAGAAATCAGCTCAAACATGTTCTGCATGTGTTTTGCTCCCTCTAATGGTCGATTTGATATTACACTGGTTTCTATTTGAAGTATCTCCCTGCAGATTTAAACTGCAGGTTTTTATGCTGGACATAGATGGTGTAATATTGAATCGACCACTAGAGGGAGCAAAACACATGTGAAACAGACCCTTCCCCTTCCGAGGAAACAGGAATTTACAAGTGAATGCAGAAAAGCCTTTGGAGCAAAAATTGTTCTTTCCTTGGACAGGCTGGAGAGGATATGTTTCCCTTAGATGAAAGTGGCATGGTCATTCCCAGTAACACAGACTACCTGGATACCTGGGAGGTAGGTTTGACTTCACCTTATTTTTTTTAATACTTGGCTGTACATGTTGAGACTGGGTGGAGAAGTTAGGGATGTGGGAATCATTTAACCTGTGCTATTCCAAGTGGGTCCACAGAACCCCAAGAACAGCACTTTGGAGAGATCAGTGAGCTGCAGGGGAGGGCGGTCAGTTTTGCTCATGGAAGTGCCTTCCATTAGTGTCATTACTGTTGGGTTCCAGTGTGGTGAGTTCCAAAAATTCAATCACATCCCTGGTTCTGAAAAGGTTTCTGCATTTTGAAGGGGGTTTGTATTTGTTTTGCTCAGGAAAGTAGTTGTTCAGTCCTTCTTCTGCCAGAAAGCAACAGAAAAACAATGTATTTTTTTTACAAGGCCATTTATTTAATTTTTAAAATATATTCCTAACCCTCAAAGACATACCGGTAAATTTCTTGCACGGCTGAAATCTGTGATGAGCTTTCCAGAAGAGAATCAAAGCGGAGTGCAGGTCATAACAGAACCACCAAATAATAACAGAGGGGAATCCACCCAGCCCTACAAGTGACCCCTAACTTGATATTTTCCCATTAGGCAATGGAGGAGCTGGTGGACTGTGGGCTGACGAAAGCCATCGGAATCTCCAACTTCAACCATGATCAGATCGAGAGGCTATTGAGGAAGCCCAACTTGAAGTATAAGCCTGTGAATCACCAGGTAAGATGGCGCATTGTTGTTCTTCACCTCTCGATTGCAGTTATCAGCAGTGGCTCCTTCTCAGCCTCATTCTGCCTGCGGCTGGAAGCTTCCCTGCTTGAGTCCGAGCTCCCCTGCCCTGCTCACAGTCCCCGAAACAGGAAAGGGCTGGTGATGGGTGGGCCAGTCATGTGTCTGAAACTCCTTGGCCAGGTTTCCTCTCAGACCAGTATCCCTATATAGGCCTGTGCTCTGCCTTTCTGCTTGTGGTCATTTCCTTAAGTCTCGTAGAGATGGGTAGAACTTCCCAGAGGAATTCGCCAGAAGGTTCCACCCAGGAGACTCTCATGCATGCCTTTTCCCACCCATGATCTGGTTCTCTGAATGGAAGACGAGACCAAACCTTCCTGGGGAGAGACCTGAATGGTCCCATTGGCCTCGTTCTTCCACTCACCCTCATTAATACAATTCCCACTTCTACGGCAGGATAATTTTTAATAATAATAATCTTTCAATTTATTAATCGCTCAATCCTGCAGAGCTGCTGGCTCTGAGCGATTTACAGTTACACATTTCACAAGGGACTAACAATGATGCATGGGGGTAAGGGAGGACAACATATATAAATCTTTAAGTCGCACACATTCGCAGCCGATGGGGATTTTGTTCAGCTGTAGACTAGACATGTTTCAGACGGCATTTTCCACTCGGCTTGGCTTGATGACGTCAGCTTTCTGCAGGTCTGATTCAAGTCGCAACGCTGCATTGCCACCGCCTGGCCGGAACGGCCCATTACAGGCTTCTTGATGCCGAAGAGATCTTTCTAGGCTTCCGATCTTACGAGCTGGACATTCCGTTTGCCGGCTAACACCTCCCCCACCGGGGGGTTTAGACCCCAGATTAAAAGTTTATGCTTGTCTTCTTCACTTGGACCGTTTTTTAATGTATATGTGGGAGAAGGTAAGAGCACTGAGGCCCTTTTCCCGACTGCTTTCCCTTCCCTTGTTTATGTAGAGATCTCAGAAGATTTATGAGGGCGCATCCTTAACCATTTGAATAATGGCATCCAGTGATAGATGCGGCAGATTTGAGTTCAGTAGCACCTTAGAGACCAACAAGATCTAGTGGGAGGTATGAGCTTTCAAGAGCCAAGGAGCTTTGACTTTTCTTGAAAGCTTATGCCCTGAACATTTTATTGGTCTCTCAAGTGCTTCTGGACTCAAACCAAATCGTTCTTCTGGAGACCCAACATGGCTATCCTCTGAAACTTACCTTTAAAAGATTTGGGGCTGAATTAGACCGTATGAGAGAGATGAACTCGGTGCTGTTTATTCCTGTTAACAGCCTAACACAAAAAGTTTACTCATTTTGTTGCATTTGTATACTGCCCCTCTTAGGTTGCCTGATCCGGGTTGGGAAATAACCTGGAGATTTTGGGGGTGGAGCCTGAGGAGGGCAAAGCTTGCGGAGGGGGGGATGGACTTCGATGGGCTATAATGCCATAGAGTCCATCTTCCAAAGCAGCCATTGTCTTCAGGCAAACTGATCTCTGTCGCCTGGAGAGCAGTTGTAAATCCAGGAGATCTCCAGCTACCAGCTGGAGGTTGGCAACCCTGTCTATCAGGGAGGTCATGCTTGTGCCCGTGGGTCTCCTAAGAGGCCTCCCATCATCCAGGCATTGACCAGTTGTAACCCTTTACCTCAAGAGGACTGTGTCATTTGCCTTTAGACTGTGCTGTGTGTACTTTAGACCATGTGATGTACTTGTGATGTCTCCCTCACCTCATTGGCTGGTGAGGGTGGCGGCATGCATAGTGTGTTGGTGTTTTGCCATTCTTGTTGGCACTGGATGTTGTCAGGGGTAGAGAGAGAGAGGAACAGAGAGTAGCAATAGTAGCTCTTGCAATGTTTGACCTCGCTCTTAAAGCTGAACAGCTGTGGGGATAAAGAGCACAGTTTGAACAAAACACGTAGAGATTCCAGAATATTCTGTGAGGGACAGAAGGCCATGTGGCCCATGAATGTGGAACAGCAGGCGGTCAGTTGTGAGAGCTTGAAGTGACTGAAAAATCCGCCTTCAGTTGCCTTCTCGAGGGGGGTTGCACCAGGAAGAGAGCAGACGTGGGAGTTTTAGCCATGCCTCAGAATGAAGGCAGAGTGGCCGGTGAGGCCTGTCTCTAGTATCAAACCATTGAAGTCTTCCTGGGGCCAGGGCAGACTGGTGAGATTAGAACCTCCTTGTGAGAGGGTCTCATCTCATCCAGTGTTTAGGCCACAGAAACCTGACAGAAATCTACCTCTTTCGAAGAAAAGGCCTTGAGTGAGAACAGGCTGAGGAAATATCATTCAGAAGTGGCCCAGAGCTGAAAACCTCTATGATTCTGTAGTAAATTAATGTGTACTTCAAACCTCACTGAAGCAGTAATTAGAGCATGAGCAAATATGCACCTCAGCCAGGCTATTCTTTGTCTGTTCGGAAACTGTGCCTGTTGAAACATTTAAACAGTTCTTGCCAGGCTAAACAAACCTTTTTTGTTGTTCTCTTTTATTCTTATATCTGAGGTCTCAGGGTCCTGGTGTAGCTCAGATAAAATTACCTCACAACAGCCAAATCCTGTATTATACAGCCATACTAACTGTGTCCTTTACACATGTAATAAATTTTCACTTTGAGGATGAAGTGTGGGGAAGATCTCTCTCTCTCTCTCTCTCTCTCTCTCTCTCTCTCTTTCTCTCTGTGGGGGAAATCTCTCTCTCTCTCTCTCTCTCTCTCTCTCTCTCTCTCTCTCTCTCTCTCACTCACTCACACACACACACACACACCAGATCCCCCCCAAATTATAGGAGGATGCCCTCAAAGGCTACCACAGCTTCTGATTTATTTGGGGGAGGTTGAATCAGAAAGTTACCACTTTCCCGGAAAAGGAGTGCCTTGAGTAATCTAGGATTTTCTTGGACTTGCAGATCGAGTGCCATCCCTACCTTACCCAAGAGAAGCTCATCCCCTACTGCCAGTCCAAAGGGATCTCTGTGACTGCCTATCGGCCTTTTGGAGCTCATACGTAAGACTGATGTGAACCTCTTTTGAACAAATTCTTTTTTGCAATTGTGCATGTGTGTGAATGATTTGTGTTCAGTTCATATAGGGATTGCAAATACCAGATCTCTAAACCAAGTCTTTGCTCCCCTCCTTTGTGCTGGCCAATCCTGATTCTGAACATTTTGAGGGAATCAGGGGGGTGGGGGGGGGAATACAGAAAATTTTGAACGGATGCTTGGCAGTCTATAATTCCCATCTGGCAGCTTGATTCCAAAGTTGGCTGTCATCCAAATACCAGCCTCTTCAAACACTTTCAGCAGTGCCCAGTGGTACATTTGACTTGGGTTCTTTTTTTTCTTGAAAGACCAAATCTTGAAAGAACATATGTTTAGATAAGCATATGGAGCAGAGGTCCATCAGTGGCTATTAGCCACAAGGTATAGATAGGGGCTCTGGGGCAAGTGATGCTCTGTCATCTTGGTGCTTGGGGGGGTCAACAGTGGGAGGGCTTCTAATGTCCTGGCCCCACTGGTGGACCTCCTGATGGCACCTGGTATTTCTGGCCACTGTGTGACACAGAGTGTTGGACTGGGTGGGCCTTTGGCCTGATCCAACATTGGCGTCTCTTATGTTCTTATGTTCTTAAATCCTGCAACTCCTCAGATATCGTAATCACTGGTTGCTTTTGGAAGCCTGTGCAGTTGCACAGTTGGTTTGCTGTGCATGGCAGGAGGCTACAGTTTGGGGGATATGATCCCAAAGACCCTTTGGGAATGCGAAAGTAGTGATGAGTTTCTTTGAACCCCTGCTGATCTTTAGTGAGGATTAAACCTCACCAAGTTTAGTGGGAGCCAATGTGTTTAGTATGGCAGCCCTGCAACACAGTCTTGGATGTAAGCGCTGTTGTGCATTTATTAGCAGCCCCTTTAAGGGAGCGCGTTCAAGTCTGCAGCCTTTCCTCCCGATCCTGCAAAACCACACCCTTTTGTCCCACGCAGACACGAGATGCTGCGTGCCCAGCTAAGGTGGACGCAGGTTCCCTTTTGGATGTGTATCTGCAATGCACATCCTCAGCTAGACAAGTAGTGAAAAGTTGTTGCGTCTTTTCTTGCGTAGGGCACTGGGGTAGGGTGGAGAGTTCAGACAACATTTTCTAGCCAGTCTTTAGAAATAGAAGAGTAAGAAGGAGAATGTGCCATCAAATCACAACCGACTTCTGGAGACCCCCAGGAGGCATCGGGGTTTTCAAGGCAAGAGATGAGCCAGAGGCGATTTGCCCTTGCCACCTTCTGCATAGCAACCCCAGTCTTTCTCGGTGGTGTCCCGTCCAAGTACTGACCGTGGCTGACCCTGCTTAGCTCCTAAGCGCTTATGAGCTCAGGATAATCAGGCGGCTAACAAGTAAGGCACCCAGTTTTCATTTCCATATGGAAGGTTGCTGGATTTTACAGAGAGAACGGCTTTTCACTTAGGGCCAAGTTATGCAAGATGAAATGCACGTGAGCATGTCCAAAGTGGGGCAGATGAGGAAAACAGCAGGAGAGAAGGCAGGATCCCTGTGGTTCCCCAGCCAGATCAAGCCTCCATGGAGTTTTAAAAGGACGTTCCCAGTAGCTGCTGCGGGTCTGCCTGGACACAGCTTGTTAAAAAAGAACTCCAGTAGTTGAGCCCTTAAGCTGAAGCCTACTTAGTATGCATGTATGTGCTATCAAGTTGCAACTGATTCATGGCAACCAGAGCCAGGGGTTTTCGAGGCAAGTGAAAAACTGCAGTGGTTTGGCATGGCCTCCCTCTGCTGAGCCTTCCTGGGCAAAGGACGTTTCCAGCAGCTGCTGCGGGACTGCCTGGACACAGCTTGTTAAAAAAGAACTCCAATAGTTGAGCTCTTAATATGTATGTATGTGCTATCAAGTTGCAACTGATTCACGGCAACCAGAGCAAGGGGTTTTTGAGGCAAGTGAGAAACTGCAGTGGTTTGGCATGGCCTCCCTCTGCTGAGCCTTCCTGGGCAGTCCCCGTCCAAGTACTGACCCTGCTTAGCTTCAGAAATCTGACGAGATCGAGCTATACCATACCATTCCCCATCCCCGAAGGCTCCTTAACACCTCTGCTTTGTTTTGTAGTCTCAATCCAGGGGACCCGATCCTTTTGGAGGACCCCAAGATCAAAGAGATCGCTGCACGGCACAAAAAGAGCACAGCTCAGGTGACAGCTTGCGAATATGATCGGGGCCTGTGTAGTGGGGAGAGAGGGAGACCAGGAGTTGGGGTATTTCAAGCAAATAGCTTGGTGGGAAAACTGAGCATTAGCATTTCTGTTGAAGTGCGTTGGGTGCTTGCAAGGGGTAACGGTGGGGGTCTGATTCAGCTTCTGTGAGACATGCAAGTTGCAAGACGGGTGTGGCAGTTCTGACATCTGCAGATGGGTGCGGGGAGTCGAGGACTGAGTGAGGCCTGAGCAGGTGTCGTAAATGGAGAAGGAGGAACATGGCATGTAAAATCATTGGACCCTAGAGCTGTAAGGGGCCATCCTGGCCATCTCGTCCAACCCCCTGCTGAATGCAAGATCATCCTAAAGCATCCCTGACAAGCCGCTGCTTAAAGACTGCCAGTGAGGGGGAGCTCACCACCTCCCTAGTCAGCCGGCTCCACTGCTGAACTACTCCCAATATCCAGCCAGTATCTTTCTGCCCATAATTTAAACCCTTTATTGCAAGTCCTTTCCTCTGCAGCCAACAGGAACAGCTCCCTCCATGCAGCAGTGCACCAGGATACCTCTCTGCACACATCAGAGTGTTCATTGAAGAACTTGATAGAGTTGCCAAGTCTTCTTTCTCCCTACCCCTCTGGAGTAACCGGTTGGCCACTGTGGCTGATTCTGCATTGGCTTTCCCCTCCATTGTTTTACGAAACCCACGTTGGAACAGAAATTCCTGTCTGCATTTGCATGCCGCTTTCACTTTCTTTGGTCATCGGGTTTTATGGTACCCTCCACACTGCATGCTGCTTTTACTTTCTTTGGTCATCGGATTTCATAGTACCTTCTGCATAGATTTATGGACGTTCATGGGTGACTTTGCAGTCAGTACGGCATTGCCCCGGGGTATCTGAGTGTGGTTTTGAGCTACACTTTTTCCTCCCGGTTGAGAAAATGTGGAGTGAATGCTAGATGCAGAACCGCCCTCTGTGAGACTGGATGCTGGACTAGACACAGTGGTCTGAGCCAGCAGGCTCTCCTTATATTTTTAACCGTTTTACATTTTAAGGGTTTGGGCATTCATGTCTGGACTCTGGGAGGTTTCGGTGATCTGTAAAGGCTGATTAGGGTCACACTGAATATTCACTGACGACAATGTTAGCTCAGGAATTAGCACACTGAAGGTGGCTAAACTGATCATTCAAAATTTTGATGAAATGTTGCTTCAGTGTTGTCCAGCTCCATCTTATTCTGCAGGCTCCTGCTTCTCATTTTGGACGCAGGTTCCCTTTTGGATGTGTATCTGCAATGCACATCCTCAGCTAGACAAGTAGTGAAAAGTTGTTGCGTCTTTTCTTGCGTAGGGCACTGGGGTAGGGTGGAGAGTTCAGACAACATTTTCTAGCCAGTCTTTAGAAATAGAAGAGTAAGAAGGAGAATGTGCCATCAAATCACAACCGACTTCTGGAGACCAGTGTTCCCTCTAAGCTGAGTTAGTGTGAGCTAGCTCACAGTTTTTTAGCCTCCGCCTCACACATTTCTGTCTTAGCTCAGGAAGGATGGCTCCGGAGCAAACTGATTTATGCAGGAGCCAAATCGCTCGCTCACAACCTTAATGCCAGTAGCTCACAAAGCAGAAGTTTTGCTCACAGGACCCCACAGCTTAGAGGGAGCATTGCTGGAGACCCCAGGAGCATTGGGGTTTTCAAGGCAAGAGATGAGCCAGAGGTGGTTTGCTCTTGCCACCTTCTGCATAGCAACCCCAGTCTTTCTCGGTGGTGTCCCGTCCAAGTACTGACCGTGGCTGACCCTGCTTAGCCCCTAAGCCCTTATGAGCTCAGGATAATCAGACGGCTAACAAGTAAGGCACCCAGTTTTCATTTCCATATGGAAGGTTGCTGGATTTTACAGAGAGAACGGCTTTTCACTCAGGGCCAAGTTATGCAAGATGAAATGCACGTGGGCATGTCCAAAGTGGGGCAAATGAGGAGAACAGCAGGAGAGAAGGCAGGATCCCTGTGGTTCCCCAGCCAGATCAAGCCTCCGTGGAGTTTTAAAAGGACGTTTCCAGCAGCTGCTGCGGGACTGCCTGGACACAGCTTGTTAAAAAAGAACTCCAATAGTTGAGCTCTTAATATGTATGTATGTGCTATCAAGTTGCAACTGATTCACGGCAACCAGAGCAAGGGGTTTTTGAGGCAAGTGAGAAACTGCAGTGGTTTGGCATGGCCTCCCTCTGCTGAGCCTTCGTGGGCGGTCCCCGTCCAAGTACTGACCCTGCTTAGCTTCAGAAATCTGACGAGATCGAGCTATACCATACCATTCCCCATCCCCGAAGGCTCCTTAACACCTCTGCTTTGTTTTGTAGTCTCAATCCAGGGGACCCGATCCTTTTGGAGGACCCCAAGATCAAAGAGATCGCTGCACGGCACAAAAAGAGCACAGCTCAGGTGACAGCTTGCGAATATGATCGGGGCCTGTGTAGTGGGGAGAGAGGGAGACCAGGAGTTGGGGTATTTCAAGCAAATAGCTCGGTTGGGAAAACTGAGCATTAGCATTTCTGTTGAAGTGCGTTGGGTGCTTGCAAGGGGTAACGGTGGGGGTCTGATTCAGCTTCTGTGAGACATGCAAGTTGCAAGACGGGTGTGGCAGTTCTGACATCTGCAGATGGGTGCGGGGAGTCGAGGAATGAGCGAGGCCTGAGCAGGTGTCGTAAATGGAGAAGAAGGAACACGGCACGTAAAATCATTGGACCCTAGAGCTGTAAGGGGCCATCCTGGCCATCTCGTCCAACCCCCTGCTGAATGCAAGATCATCCTAAAGCATCCCTGACAAGCCGCTGCTTAAAGACTGCCAGTGAGGGGGAGCTCACCACCTCCCTAGTCAGCCGGTCCCACTGCTGAACTACTCCTAATGTCCAGCCAGTATCTTTCTGCCCATCATTTAAACCCTTTATTGCAAGTCCTTTCCTCTGCAGCCAACAGGAACAGCTCCCTGCATGCAGCAGTGCACCAGGATGCCTCTCTGCACACATCAGAGTGTTCATTGAAGAACTTGATAGAGTTGCCAAGTCTTCTTTCTCCCTACCCCTCTGGAGTAACCGGTTGGCCACTGTGGCTGATTCTGCATTGGCTTTCCCCTCCATTGTTTTACGAAACCCACGTTGGAACAGAAATTCCCGTCTGCATTTGCATGCCGCTTTCACTTTCTTTGGTCATCGGGTTTTATGGTACCCTCCACACTGCATGCTGCTTTTACTTTCTTTGGTCATCGGATTTTATAGTACCTTCTGCATAGATTTATGGACGTTCAGGGGTGACTTTGCAGTCAGTATGGCGTTGCCCCGGGGTATCTGAATGTGGTTTTGAGCTGCACTTTTTCCTCCCGGTTGAGAAAATGTGGAGTGAATGCTAGATGCAGAATTGCCCTCTGTGAGACTGGATGCTGGACTAGACGCAGTGGTCTGAGCCAGCAGGCTCTCCTTATATTCTTACCCGTTTTACATTTTAAGGGTTTGGGCATTTGTGTCTGGACTCTGGGAGGTTTCGGTGATCGGTAAAGGCTGATTAGGGTCACACTGAACATTCACTGACGACAGTGTTAGCTCAGGAATTAGCACACTAAAGGTGGCTAAACTGATCATTCAAAATTTTGATGAAATGGGTATTTACGTTGCTTCAGTGCTGTCCAGCTCCATCTTATTCTGCAGGCTCCTGCTTCTCATTTCTCTTCTGCCGTCCTTATTGCCCTCTCCCTTGTTTGTATTCACTATTTTCTAATAGTATTTAGTTATTCATTTAGAATGTTTTAATGCCACCTTTCCGCCCAATCAGGGTCCACAAGGCAGTGAACGTTAAAAAAAATTTAAACTATTCAAAAACAGTTAAAATATAAAATTCAGTTAAAACCACATAAACACTAGAAGGAGGACCAGTAATTGTTACTGGGGTTATGCCAGATGAAACAGAAAAAGGCTTTAATTTTGGCTTTTGAAATCAACATGGCCTTTCTGCATTCTCACTTGAAAGTTCCTGTTTCTTCAAGGGGGGGGGGCTTTATGTCCCACATTTACTTTGCTCCCTCTAGTGGTCCGTGTGATATTACAGTGGCAGATGCCCAGCCTAAAAACCTGAAGTTTAAATCTTCATGGAGAAATGCTGGACATAAACCAGTTTAATATCGAATAATTCATGAAAACAAAGAAGGTAAATGTGGCTTAGCCATAAAGTAAAACCTCTCCAGTTTGATTTGTGAAATGTGCTGCCCGTGTCAAAAATGGCCCTGATTTTGGGGAGGTGCTATGGCTTGGTCCCAGGTTCAATCCCCAACATTTCCAGATAAAGAATCTGGCAGTAGATGATGTAAAAGACCTCTGCCAGTCCGAGTAGACAATACTGACTTTGATGGACTGAGGGTCTGATTTGATATAAAGCAGCTTTGTGTGTTCATTTGTCTCTCTCTTCAGGTTCTGATCAGGTTTCACATCCAGAGGAATGTGGCTGTCATTCCCAAATCAGACAAACCACACCGACTGGAGGAGAATTTCAAGGTAGATGTGTGTTTGTTTTTTCTTCCATACGGTTTCCCTCTTGCATGCTAATACAGCCATGAGGGTTTGCTGCTGTTGTTCCCAGGTGAGGAGCCTGAGTGGCAAATGCATCTGGTTGCCTGTTCCTCTTGATACTAACCACCTAATCTTGCATCACTCCTGGACCAAGACCAGGCTTTGCCCTGGCCAAGAACACAGAGGGATCTTGCCTTCTGTCCAGTCCACCCCAGTTCTTATGTTTAAACTGCTGATGTATAGTACATCCCGCACAAACCTTTCTGGCTGAATCAGAGCTAGAGGAATGTGCGCCCTTTTAGATATAACTGAGCAGTAGGGATGGGCACGAACTGGCTCACGAATGTAAGTTTGTGACAAATTTCTGTTGATTTGTGGTTTGCGAAAGGAAGTTCGCAAATTGAAGAGCCACCACAAACTTCCACAAATTTAAAGGAAGTTCATGAAGAGTAGAAAGCAGAGGTATAAATGGCTCTGAGCTATTTAAACCCCTGCTTTCTGCGCCTTGCTGCTTTTCGTGGGGAGAACCCTTGCTTTCTGCTCCCCACGAAAAGCAGCAGGGAGTAGAATGCATGGGTGACAAACCCGATACGAACTAGTTCAGTTCATGAAACAACCACCTGGTTTGTATTGATTCATGGTTCGGTTCAAGATTGGGCCACAAACCAAAATGAACCGCAAAAATGTGGTTGGTGCCCATCCAAACTGAGCAGTATCCAAAGTCACTTGTTTGCAGTGGGGAACTGCAGGCGGCAGTTGATGAAATGTGTTTATTAAAACATTTATATCCTTCTTTTCCTTGTGGCTCAAGGCGGCTTGCAATATTAGTAAAAAACATTTTCAGTTTAAAAGCAAAAATAAAATAACCCCAGATCTATCCCTCCCTTAAAAGATGCCTGAAGGGGAAAGCAGCCCCTCCCTCGAGCCTATTGGAGTGCTGCTCCAGCAACCAGTCACCTTTCAGGCGGGTGAGGGAATGCCGGAGGAAAACACAGCAGGCGTTCAGTTCTGCCTCTCGGAGAGAGCTCAGGGCTGGCTCAGGAAAAGAGTGGGAGGTAAAAAAGAAGGCCAAGGCCGATGGTGCAAAATCGGGTTAAAGTATTTTTTATTACTCAGTTAAATTTCCAAAAATTCCCTATGCGTTTTGCCAACAGGCTTCATCAGGGGAATCTGTGTGTCTAGCAGTAATTCTTCGAAAAGAGTACAAGATCATTCAATAATTTTTGACGAATTACTGCAAGACAAACAGATTCCTCTGACAAAGCCTGTTGGCAAAACGCATAGGGAATTTTTGGAAATTTAACTGAGTAATAAAATGTATTTTTACCTGATTTTGCACCACCGGTCTGGGCCGGATCTTTTTATCTCCTGTGACTGGTGCAGCTTTTATTTTCTTCTCACTCAAGAAAAGAGCAGGCAGAGTGAAGGGTAGCTCTGCCTGCCTGGTAGTGTGACAGAGTGGTTTAGCTTTACCTTTGGGAGAGGAAAGAGTCCCCGATGGTTAGGCCGGTCTCTGGCTATGAGCAGGCCTTGTGCCGTTTAGTCAGACTCTTGGGAAAGGGCAAGCTGGTGTGGGTGGAATCCTGTGTCTGTGTTAGGGTCCAGCCTAGGGGCTAGTTGGTAAAAGCCTGTTTATGGTCAGAAGTATTAAAGAAGGTTGAAACTACTCTCTAAATTGATGTGCCTCAGCCTGGTCTCTCTTTTGTCTTCTCTGAAGACCTGTGCTGCTGATCTGTTCTTTGAAACCTACTTGTAAATAAATAAATCTTTGTGATTAATATACAATTCCTGCCTCAGTGACCTCCATATTCTACCCGTCCACCACAAAACTTACCTCACGGCAGTGAACCCAAAGCCTAGACACTCACTCCCTTTAGAAAGCCTGGTATGTGAGGGTTGATATAAACCTGGTCCCCCCAGAATCATGGCTCTGTGGGTCCCCTCAGTTGATAGAAATGGCCTGTCACAGATGCCTGTCGTTCAAACCCCCACAAAAGCCCTGGCAAAGAAGCAGGCCTTGCAGTGCCTCCTGAAGATATCCGGAGAGGGCTCACGTTACCCCTTCAGGGAGCCCATTCCACAGAGCCAGACACACAATGGGAAAAGCTCGGGCTCTGGTTGATACCAGACAGGCCACTCTAAGTGGTGGGAAGGGCAATCGATGGCTGCCTGACAACCGTAGTTGGTGCACAGGGACATATGGAAGGAGCTGGGTCTTCAAAGCATGGTGGTAGAACGTTCCACTTCCACAGTTCTGGAAGTATTCGCTTTTCTTCTCTCCTTCTCCTGCATCTCTGAAGTGGAATCCGTCTCTCACTTGGTTCCTAATGACAGCCAGTTTGATGTCGTTGTTAGGTACGCGTACTTTAATCTGGGAGAACCGGGTTTGGTTCTCCACTCTTCCATATGCAGCTGCCGGTGTGACCTTTCAGAGCTATTCTCTCATGAGCAGTTCTCAAGAGGGCTCTCTCAGCCCCCCCCCACTTCACAGGGTGTCTGTTGTGGGGAGGGGAAGGGAAAGGAGATTGTAAGCCGCTCTGAGGCTCCTTTGGGTCGTGAAGGGTGGGGTATAAAGCCAACCTCTTCTTCTTCTTTCAGGTGTTTGACTTTGAATTGACTAAAGAGGAGATGGAGACCCTCCTCGGTTTGAACAGGAACTGGAGAGATTGTTTGATGGCCCAGTAAGTTTAGGATTTCATACTGTTTTTCTTTTGCTGTGACAGTCACCCAGCCAATTGAAGCTGGCCTAATCCCTGACTGCAGCACTGTGTCAGCTAAACCAGCACGGACGTCACCTGTCCATTGGGTGTGACGGGAGCCTCCTCAAAGTTTGAATGCCACAAATAAGCTGAAGTTTATTTCGTAACCTGGTTACGAACCTGGTTGCCAGGCTGAGCGCACGCTCTCCCTCTCTCCCTCCCTCCTTCCGCTGCATTGAGGTCCAGGACATTCAGCCATCTTCCCAGTTTGTTGTGATGTCCAAAGGTGGGCACTTTAACAAAACAAAGATTCTTTCCCCAAAACTTTCCCAGTTCCTGGGAAGGATTTCTAGGGGGATGCACAACTTACCTTACTTCTTCTTTGTCCTCCCTGGTCGACTGAAGGAAGAGCTGCTGGGAGCAGGGGGCTTGCTACATGTCCCTGCCCCCTGGCCTCTCTGCCGGAGCGCCGTTCCTGTGAGCTCCAGCCCAAAAGAAGGCCTGACTATATCAGGACAAATGTCAGAATATATTATTTCAGAATGTATAAATACAGGTTAAAAGGTTCAAAACGTGTCCAAATACAAGAACCAAACACGTTTTGGCTAAAAAGCCTTCGTGTCCTTAAGAAGCGACATGGGCCCGGCTGCTCATCCAAGTGTGTTTTATTTCATCTGCCCATGGATCTGCTTAGGCCCAGTCTGCAACAGTCGAAATCCATATAGCGTGCTCAGCAACAATGTAAATGACTGACCCATGTTGCATCTTAGATGTATATTGTCGCCTTGCTTATTTAATATATATGCAGAGTACATCATGCGAAATGCTGGCCTGGATGAATCACAAGCGGGAATTAAGATTGCTGGGGAAAAGATCAACAACCTCAGATATGCAGACGATACCACTCTGATGGCAGAAAGTGAAGAGGACCTCAAGAGCCTCTTGCTCAGGGTAAAAGAGGAGAGCGCAAAAGTGGGCTTGAAGCTCAACATCAAAAAAACTAAGATCATGGCATCCGGCCCCATCACTCCTTGGCAAATAGAAGGGGAAGTCGTGGAAGTAGTGACAGACTTCACGTTCCTGGGATCCCAGATCACCGCAGACTGTGACAGCAGCCATGAAATTAAAAGATTTCCTTGGGAGGAAAGTGATGGCGAACCTAAACAGCATGATAAAAAGTAGAGACATCACCCTGCCAACAAAAGTCCGCATGGTCAAAGCAATGGTATTCCCAGTAGTCATGTATGGCTGTGAGAGTTGGACTATAAGGAAGGCCGAGCGCCGAAGAATAGATTCTTTTGAACTATGGTGCTGGAGGAGACTCTTGAGAGTCCCTTGGACTGCAAGAAGAACAAATCAGTCAATCCTCAAAGAAATCAACCCTGACTGTTCCCTGGAAGGCCAGATAATGAAACTGAAGCTCAAATACTTTGGCCACCCAATGAGAAGGGAGCACTCACTGGAGAAGACCCTGATGCTGGGAAAGATTGAAGGTCAAAGAAGACGGGGACGGCAAAGGATGAGATGGTTAGACAGTGTCATAGATGCAACGAACATGAAATTGAGCCAACTTCAGAGGACGGCGGAAGACAGGAGGGCCTGGTGGGAGATGATCCATGGGGTCGCGAAGAGTCGGACTCGACTGTGCGACTGAACAACAACAACAAACACGTTTCGGCTAAGAAGGCTTTGTGTTCTTAAGAAGCAACATGGGCCCGGCTGCTCATCCAAGTGTGTTTTATTTCATCTGCCCATGGATCTGTTTAGGCCCAGTTTGCAACAGTCGAAATCCAGATAGGGTGCTCAGCAACATTGTAAATGACTGACCCATGTTGCATCTTAAGAACATTTGTTCCTGTTGACTCCACGGGTGAACATTTCTGTCTAAGGTCTGCCCTGTATTTGATCATTGTGGGTTTTTAAGGTCCATTCTGGACATGATGCGTTTAAAATATATTGGTGTTTAACTTACGGAGTGGCTCAGCTTGCCTTTTGCCACCGAGGAAGGCTTTTTAGCCGAAACACGTTTTGGTTCTTGCACTTGGACACATTTTGTACCTTTTAACCTGTATTTATATATCCTGACATTTGTTTTGATATTAGATATAGGTATACAGAGCCATAAATATGTGGTTTTTATTGTTGTTTTCATATTTTCAATCATCATGAAAATATATTGTATATTTTTATAATAGCACTGCATGTTAAACCATCTTTGTTCATCTTTTGCCTTGAAAAGCCTACAAGGTCGCTCTAAGTCAGCTGCAATTTGACAGCAAAAAAGAGAAAAGTCTTGTGCTTTGTAGATGAATGCACTTTTGGTGGGGCTGGCCCGTTGCTTGGGACTCACCAAGCTGAACTCAGCCCATGAACTGCCTTACCTGCCCTGGGGCTTGCTGGCTGTCAGAATCTGCACAAGAGAACCGCCTTCCTCCATCACCCATGACTGTCCGTCTTCTGGTGGTCTCTGCACGGCATATGCCCTCCTTGGGACGTGCCCGTCCAGAACAAGAACTGATAGCAGCTTCTGGGGAAAGGGAGGGGCGATGGCTGCTCCTGCCTCAGGGGCCACCTTTACACAGCATTTGCGTACTTCTCCAGTATTCAGCCTGCATTGGCCATGCATGTGGGGTTGACCTTTTAATCAGACTCTCCTCTCTGTCCTGTTCTTGCAGGTCTGTCAATCACAAAGACTACCCGTTCAAAGCCGATTATTAGGACTGAGCCGGCCCTGGAGACTTCGGCCAGCTGAGGGAGCGTCACACTGCACAGCTTCATTAGCTGGTCTTGTCAGTGAGTGAGTGAGTGAGTGTGTCTGTGAGAGAGAGAGAGAGGGAGGGAGGGAAGGGGAATCAAGTGGCTAAAACATGGCTGTGGACCAAAGGCCTGAACCGTTGAGTCCCGTTGCTTGCAACTGGCTAGTGAAAAATTTCATTTGTGAAGTCCGCAGCTGGAATTAAATAAATGAATTGCTGTCCTCAGCCAATTAATTTGCAGATTGTTCCACGTCTAATAGCCGGATCCTGTATTTCTTAACTTGTTTTTTTAATTTAAAACATTTTTACGCCACCTTTCCACCCAATAAAACTTGGAACCATTAACAGCAACATTAAAATTATAAAAATAATTCAATAAATACACATAAGGAATGCTAGAGCCGGGGGGCAGTAACCCTTATCAGTAGTATGCCAAACGAAACCAAGTCTTTACCTGCTGGTGGAAGACACCGATAGGGGGAGAAATAAGAACATAAGAGACGCCAATGTTGGATCAGGCCAACGGCCCCTCTAGTCCAACACTCTATGTCACACAGTGGCCAGAAATACTAGGTGCCATCAGGAGGTCCAACAGTGGGGCCAGGACACTAGAAGCCCTTCCACTGTTGCCCCCCCCCAGCACCAAGAATACAAGTGCATCACTTGCCCCAGAATGACTCTCCCTGGGGATGCAGTTCCAAAGTTTTGGCACCACCACTGGGAAGGCCCTTTTTCCGTCTGTCACCTGCCTTGCCTCAGATTGGAGCAACCGAAGTGGGGCCTCTGAAAATGACCGGAGTAGGTGGGTAGGCTCATATGTTGGCCCCAGGCTTTAAAGGGCTGCCCTGTCACAGCGTCTCTCAGGGCTGGGTAGAAGGAAGTCAGTATTACGCAATCCACGGATCTTGGTCCCCTGCAACGGTACAGCGGAGCTGCGCAAAGAGATTTGGGCAACCCGGGTGGAAAAAGGAACCGAAGCCCCTGCAGGGTATGATCCTAATGGCCCCAAAAAGCGTCTCTCTCGAGGTTGTGAGCTCCCCCCTCCCCCTGATACTTGGATTTGTCCGCTCAGTGTCCCTACGAGGGACAGGCTGTGTATTTCATGCAAACCAGAGGACGTGATGCCTCGAGAGACTTTAGTAATAGAAGCAGTCTGCAGCTTTAGTGTGGGTGTTGGGGAAATAATATCATTATTATTTCTGCTGTGAGCCCTTTCTCCAAGCATGGAATGCAGGGAGGGTGAGGGTGAGTCAGAAGAGAGAAGTTGAGTTTTTACACCTAGCCTTCCCCTGCCCTAAGGAGTCTCAAAGTAGCTTACAATCGCCTTCCCCTTCCCACAACAGGCACCTGGTGAAGTAGGTGGGGCTGAGAGAGCTCTGAGAGGACGGTGTCTGGCCTGAGCTCACCCAGCAGGTTTCATGCAGAGTACTGGGGAATCAAACCTGGTTCTCCAGACCAGAGTCCACTGCTCTTAACCCCTACGAACATAAGCTATGTTGGGTCAGGCCAGTGGTCCATCCAGTCCAACAGTCTGTGTCACGCAGTGGCCAAAACCCAGGTGCCATCAGGAGGTCCACCAGCGGGGCCAGAACTCCAGAAGCCCTCCCACTGCTGCCCCCCAAGCACCAAGAATACAGAGCATCACTGCCCCAGACACGGTGTCCAACTATACCTTCCCCCTTCTAGTTTGAATGATAATGGATTTGGTGACAAAGGAAGAAAACGTCTGAAACAGCATGTGAAAAAAATTGAGTCAGAACGTCCATTTTGGTTGTGGCTGTGATGCATTTACTTTAGTGTACTCGAAACCTGGAACTCAAAGTCACTATACTATTAGAATCTGATGGCGTTCACGCTTTGCAGAAGGGATTTGTGCAATAGCAAAACCTGGACATTCCAAAAAGCAGAGGCGGTTGAAAGGCTAAAGAGCTCACTGGGTGACCTTGGGCCAGCCACTCTCAGGCTAACTTACCTCACAGGGTGGTTGTTGTGAGGACAAAATGGAAGAGGGGAAGATTGGTGTTGCAAACTGATTTGGGTCCCCCTGAGGGGAGAAAAGCAGGCTATAAATAAAGGCATGCATATCTATGTATGTATGCAGGGGTTTGTGACGACCCCTTATCTGGGGAGGCCTGGTTTCACTTTAAAAGTGTTCTTTTACTTATGTTTATCTGGGTATCTCTGGCTGCCACCAGGAAAATTTTAAAAGGATTTCCAAACCTTTATGCTTTTTCTATTTCTGGGTAGGTAGGTCGAGGGTTTTAGGCTTCATGAGGGTCTATGTGTTTACTGAGAAATTATTTCGTTCAGAGCTGGCAGACTTAAATAAAGAAGATTTATTGATATAATTCGTAAATAACAGGATAGTACTTTGTATCTAGGAATGGGTAAATACTGAACAATTCCAACTGGGTTTTCACACACTTTTCTCTCTCACTGTCAGAGATTTTGGCATGTAACTTTGTAACACTAACTCAAGGTCATGTAAGTTCACAGTTTCTCCAGTCACTCAGACTTTTATTTTTCTCTTTGACTTTACTTTCTTGTTTCATATACATTCAACCTTTCTTCATATACAGAACTAACTCATAAGCACACAAAACTGCTTCTCCTTTCATACTCAGAGCTTAACTGAACTGTTTCCCTCACAGAACTCAGAACTTAACTACTCCCTGTCTTTATCAACTGTCTAAACTGTAACTCTTGACTGACACACATTTTCTAAAACCCCTCCCCCTTTCTGCCAATCACCAATCACACCACTTGCCTGTTTCAACCATCCTAGACTATCTCTCACCGCCATGCAACCAAACTTTTAAAGGCACACACACACAGTTAAACATGAAATCATTACAGGCCTCTTCTCCATACATTTATCCAAGCCCCCTCTTGAAGCTGTCTGTGCTTGTTGCTTCCACCACTTCCTGCGGCAGTGAATCCCACATGTTAATTACTCTTTGTAAATCACTACACCACGCTGGCTGCTTGGTGGGTCCACTCAGAGGTGTGGCTCTGGAGCCCCGTGGTGGGAGAAGCAGCCACACACATGGGTATCTGTGTATCCCTCCGTTCCCCATGTGCACTCCAAACTGCAGCACGCCAAAGCTGCTTTTTGGTTATTGCTGCATACATCTATGTGGAACAGGTAGTTTCATTGCAACAGTAGAGACATGCCAATAATGTATTAGTAATCCACCCTGGGTCCAAGTGGGAAAGGCATGAAACTACCTTATGCTGAATCAGACCCTTGGTCTATCAGAGTCAGTATTGTCTACTCAGACCGGCAGTGGCTCTCCAGGGTCTCAGGCAGAGGTCTTTCACATCACCTACTGCCTGGTCCTTTTAGCTGGAGATGCCGAGGATTCACCCGATTTAGAGCGGTTTACAATCTCCTCCCCTCCCCCTCCCCTCCCCCTCCCCACAACAGACACCCCATGAGGTAGGTGAGGCTGGGAGACCTCTTTTGAGGACCGCTCCCAAGAGAACTGCTCTGTGAGGACATGTGACTGACCCAAGATCACCCAGCGGGCTGCATGTGGAGGAGTGCGGAATCAAACTCGGTTCTCCAGATTAGAGTCCGGCGCTCTTTAACCACTACCTCAAACTGGCTGAGCCACAGCCCCTCCCCTAAATGATGTAATTAAAAAAAAAGATGTAAAAAATTAAACTGTTGCTGCAGAGATGAAAAGAAAAAAGTTGGGCTACAACCCCAAGCCATACCCCCCCCAACTTCTGCTGAGCACAGATTCCTGCCGGATGCATTCTCCCATCCCTTCAAGCAGAGGCTGTGATCTAGGTGAGTCTGTATCTCTGCAGGTGGAGGAGGTCTACATTGGATTGCTGCCCTGCATCGAAAACTCCCTGACCTCCTAGCTTTTCCGCAGCAGGGATGCACTCAACCATGAAATCTCCCACCTGCTTCCTAAAGAAGAAGAGATTGGATTTATACCCCACCCTTCACTACCCGAAGGAGTCTCAGAGTGGCTTACAAACTCTTTTCCCTTTCCCTCCCCACAGCAGACACCCTGTGAGATGAGGGGGCTGAGAGAGCTCTCTTGAGAACTGCTTCAGAGAGAACAGCTCTGAAATAATTTGTAACTGAGAACTGCTCGTGAGAGAACAGCTCTGAGAGAACTTGTGACTAACCCAAGGTCATACCAGCAGCTGAATGTGGAGGAGTGGGGAATCAAACCCAGTTCTCCCTAGAGTCCCCTCTCTTAACCACTACACCAAACTGGCCCTAAAGGCAGCATGGTCCCTTGTGTATTTTTTCTGAATGTGGGAAGAATGATACAGAGGGCTGATGGACACCGGTTCCTCTAAGCTGTGCACACGAGCGGCCGCTTATTAACACAGGAAGCCCCGCTCAGCAGCAGTATGGAGCTGTGAAGGGTCTTGCACTGCCCGTTGCCCATTTTAAGATTACATCAGTTATATTCTGCTCTGGATGTGAATGGCTCTGCTCAGCAGGGGGGGAAATCAGAGGGAACATTACTGATGGGATATCTTTGCTGTCCTTCAGGTGCATGGAATGGCAGACAGTTTCCAGATGCTGCCACTAGCTCAGCCTTACAATAAAACCGCGTTCTGCATGTTTCGATCTCGTAAGGGCCCAATCCACTCACTCAGGTCTTTGCATAATATCTGGTACTTCTGGTGTCCTCTGCTCCAAGCACAGGGTTTTGCTGATGGTGACACACATCCCCCCCCACCAACCAAGAATTTGGCAGCATTTCCGATTTGCTGGCGGACAGTGGCATGCATGCAGCCCACCTGGATCGGGCCATTTACTGTTTTAAAAAGGTACACCAACTCAGCCGTCAGATAGACATACTCCATTTATTGTGAATTGCAGATTCAGCATATTGGTTTATTGCAGATACTCAGATGTAAAGAGTCCAAAAGTGTAGTTTTACAAGAAATGCCAAACAAACAAAAAGACAGCTCCACAGTTAACATTTTTTTTTTTGCATGTCTTCACTCCAGCTGTGAAGGCTGACGTGACATTTCACTGTGCCAGCAGGAGGGTTCCGGGAAGCAGCGCAACTGTCCTTTCGATCATGCTTCATCATTGTCCCTTAAACAAAAGAAAACGGGGCAAGGCAGAGATGCACCAGATACATAGAAAGGGTAACAGTTCCCAAGCTATAACTGCGTTTGAGGGCGGGCTATAAAATCGCCCGGCTGACCCCCATGGATACTCTTTATGATGTAAATGCTGAATATTGTGACGGTGACTGGAAACCAACTTAACAGTTTTTTTAAAAGCATTGTGGATACTATGTACAAGTCACATGATATGGCTGTAGATAAGAACCCCGAGTGAGGACGGGTGTGAACTCCCTTTCCCTCCTGCCACAACCGTGGCTGTCTTTTAATGCATTGATTCTCAGTGGAGTCCTGGTTTCTCCCTCTCCTCAGCACAGCTGGCTCTCAACCTGGCGTGCATTCTGGAGCATAAATAACTTATGCACAGAGACCTCGGGGGAAGAGAGGGATGGCCAGAGGAGACACTGTGGGCTCCTCCTTTAAAATACTGGCTGCTGCTGCTGCGCTATACCACTTGTGTTGCCAAAGGCCAAAGGAAAAGGGAGCCCTGTGCCGATCCCCTCCTGCAAGGGGGGGGGGAATGGATGGATCGTGCCCGTTTTGTGGATTTTTTCTTTCTAAAGAGACACTGTGAGATGCAGATAGCCTTGATAAAGGGAAAATTAAGTGTGCAGTAATGAACAAACATGTGTCACCAACATAATGTGCGCATATGTGTTTTGTGTGTGTGTGTGTTATGGAAGTTTTATATAAATTAGCTACATTGCTTTATACAAGTGACCTATGTTTGACGCTTAATACCCTTCTCTTCCTCTTTTAAAACTATAAATTTAATCAACCATCAAAGGCATCTGATATTTTTATTTTAAAAAATCTAAGCACTTCTCTTGCCACCAAGCCTAATGGCAATTATGAAATCTTAATATAAAAAAGTGTGTATTTTGGGGGTTGTTTTTTTTTTAAAAAAAGGTTTGTGATATTGGCTAGTCATGTTAAGTTTATAACTAAATATAGTACTCTAGCGGGTATTAAAAGCCTTCTACGGTTAGCAGTGCCTTACAGCTAAGTCACATAAAGCTATATTGTATACACTCTAAAAATTGCAACTAACCGGAAAACAAAACGAAAAAGTAAAAGTTTCAGTACCGCTGTCAACCGCAGTCATCCGAATTTAGGATATTAACTTAGAACTAAATAGGAAAATAAAAAAAATATAAAGTACAAAAGATGTTCCCAACTTGTTACGGATGGAGATTTGATGTGGGGAAAGTAGAGAAACAAAGACTGTTAAGTGAAAGTAATTTCTTCCCTGCCTCGACTTAAAGTGCAGAAAGAATGGCTCCGGGGGGGGGGGCCTGTTTCACTGCAGCATCCTTCATACTAGTCTCACCGAAATGAATGGTGTTGGGGCAGAATCCACAACACCACCTGTCCTTGGTTATCTCCTTGTGGAGAAGTCGATTGGCCCCCTCTGACTTTGCATATGAAGACGACACTTCACAATGGCCCTCTGGTCACACGGTGTCCGGCACAAATTCTTCCCCCCTTAAAAAGGGGGGGGCTGGTAAGGGGGGAGGAAAGACAACCCTGCAACCGAGCATCATGACGGGGTGCCCCCTTCATTCAGAAAGTCGTCATGGCAGAGGGACGCACGGCTTCTCCTTTGTGGAAAGTGGAGGGCCGACCAGGGACCTGGCTTGGTGTGGGCTCGTGTTCCTGCACATTCGAATAAGCAAGAAGGAATCCTGGGGGGGATTCTCTGCTCGGCAAACAGGCTGTTGAAAAGAGGTTTGTCGGCTCGGCTCCTTTAAAAACCATTTACCGGCTGTTTTTTCTTTTTTTCCTTTTATTATTTGAAATTAGCCTGGACCTTTCTCTTCCCTTTCGATCTGCAGTGAGATATGCACGGATGGAAGCTCTGGGGCGGACGGTGGTCCTTTCCGGCAGGGCTGAACTTGGCTTGTTCAGACACGCAACTCTGTTGAGAGCTGAACGGTAGAAGGATCTCTCTTTCACAGCACGGGGTTTCTTTTTAGAAATAAGGCTCTGGATGTGAAGGCACTACTCTTAGGATGGATGCTGAAGGCGGATTATTAAATACAGTGCTAATATACATGGTTTCTTTTAACTGGAATAATGCAAAAACAAAAAATACCCAACAAAAAGGCCTTTTTTTTGGTAAACAACCATAAATATATATAAAAAAAAGAAAGACAAATTTTAGCACTTCCGTTTTTTTTAAAAAAAACTGAGTTGGTCCAGCATCATCGGTGGGCTTCTTTAGGGTTCCTTTTCAAATTGTCTCAAACCTGCTAGAAGAAAGAGAAGGTGTAAGAGGTTTGCTTGGGATTGCAAGAAATGCCCTCTTTCTGGCTTACATGCGTAAGTCAAGCCTGGAACTGTGGTAGCAGTGATTTGTGTAGGTTTCCGGGCCAGGGTCCAAGACGTCACTGCAAGGCCTCCTCGCTAGCTGCCTCCGACCATCGTGGCTTTTCGAGTGAGTTCTGAACTCCACCTGTATGTATCCCAAATAAAATCCCTCATACTATTGTTGACCTGCTCTTTTATTATCAAAATGGGATGCAGGGAGGGGGGACTGTAGCCAGGACTTTTTTTAGTCAGGGGGCATTTAAATTTCTTAGGGGGGACTGGCTAATCAGACTAAAGGAATAACCGGCTCATTCCCGGCATCCACCACCACTTGGGCACCCTGTCCTGGATGGGAAGTCGGGGGGCCCTGCCACTAAGTCGGGGGGGCCTAGCCCCGAGATGGCCCACTGTAGCTACGGGCCTGGATGCAGACAGTGGCGGACCTACATTTTTGGGACCCTGAGGCTTGAACTGTTATGGGGGCTCCTTCTCAACCGGCAACAATAGAAGAAGAAGAGTTTGGATTTATACCCTGCCCTTCACCACCCAAAGGTGTCTCAGAGCGGCTTACAAACTCCTTTCCCTTCCCCTCCCCACAACAGACACCCTGTGAGGTAGGTGGGGCTGAGAGAGCTCTGACAGAAACTGCTCTTTTTTCAAGAACAGCTCTTATCAGAACTATGGCTTGCCCAAGGTCATCCAGCCAGGTGCAAGTGGAGGAGTGGGGAATCAAACCTGGTTCTCCCAAATTAGAATCCGCGCACTTAGCCACTACACCAAACTGGCCACATCCGACAAGGCCAATACGAAACCGGTATTACAGCATCTTATAAGGTCAATATTAAGTGCTTCCACCCATTGGCTTATGATTCCGTCACTAAAATAGCCGTTTTAATAACAAACACTTTAAAAAATCTCCCATCAATTTTGTTGAAAATTTCACTCATTAAAAAAAAAAGTTGCTTCAGGGCCCCTCCAGGATTAGGGGCCCTGAAGCTTAAGCTTCATTAGTTTCATAGGAGATCCGCCCCTGGATGCAGGGGCTCTTTTTGATCAGCTATAGACTGAAATACTTCTCCGTATAGCTGCCTGTGGAACACACTGCCACTGGATATGGTGATGGGACAAAATTAGGAGTAAGTCTGAAGAAGAAGAAGGAACATGAGAGGCCAGACTACGAATGTTCCTTCCGTATGACAGGTGGGGTGACAATATGCTTAGTATCTTACAAAAAAGAGAAGGGTGGAATGGTGTAGAATAATGCAATTGCAACGCTGTTCCGGGAAGAATGCAGACCAGGGGTAGGAGGGGCCACAGCTGTGTGAGCCAATGGGCTGGGCTGCTGTTTTGTCCCTACAATTCCACATCTGTCTGCCAGGAATGGAATGGGGGTGGGGGGTGCTTCCAGCATAAGTTGTTAAAACTGTGAAGATTTTTTTGTTAGAGCCCACACCCAACCAAACTGTAATGCCATGAAAAAGAACAGGAAGCACAGCCAGAGGAGAAAGAGGCCATCGGGTCTACAGCAGGGCTGGCCAAACTGCGGCTCGGGAGCCACATGCGGCTCTTTCACACCTAGTGTGCGGCTCCTGGCAGTGCAGCTGGAGAGGCGAAGGGGAGGCATGCCTCCGTGATCGGTCTTCCCTTCCCTAGCCAGTGTTCTTTCCACCTTTCTTTCCCTTTTTATCGCCTTCTCCCTTTTTCCCTTCCTTTCTCTCTCTTTTCCTCCTTTCCCCTCCCTCACTTCCCCATCTATTTGCTTTCTTTGTTTCTTTCTCTCTTTCCACCTCTTTCATGCTTTCTTTTAACCCCTCTCTCTCCCCCCCCCGTCTTAGACAAATAAATATCATTAGCAAACAAATATAGGCCCCGGTCACACGGGCCAGAGAACACGGGGGGGGGGGAGGCGTAGTTCTTTGTGCCAGTGCAATTAGACCCACCAAAACGCAATCAGACGCAATGGTGGCACACCATGGTTTCGTCCGTCAGTGCGTGCGTGTCAAGGAAAGCCGGGGGAAAGCCGTGCGCCGGCGCGATCACACGGAACAATTCTGTCAGCAGCCCGTGGCAAACCTTTTGCTAGTACGGGTGCGCTACGCTTGCCAGATGTTGCGGTGTGATCGCGCCCTGAAAATCCGCCCAGCATTCATTGCTCTCCTGCGGCAAATCTGGCATGTGAACGGGCCATAATTGGACAAATAAATATCATTATCAATATCTGTTTTTACCCCTTTTTATTTTTGGCAGTCTCATTTAATGCTAATAAAAACGTGTGTAATATCTGTCTTGCGACTCTCAGACATCTGACATTTATTCCATGTGGCTCTTGCGTTAAGCAGGTTTGGCCACCCCTGGTCTATAGGATTGGCAGTACAGAAACGATCACGGTCAGGGAAGCAAGTGCTGTGGGACGGGAGTGGTCAGCAAGGGGGGGGGGATCTCTGGGCAGGAGACAGAGTTGGTGGAGACTCCACAGGGACCGGCAGCAGTGAGGGACTCAGCTTGGTGGCACCAAGGACCACAAAGACTGCCCTTTGAGCTATCGGCCTTACAGCCTCTGGGCAAAACGTTCCGGCGATGTAAATGAATCTTCATTCTTATGAAGGGGCTTTTATCTTTCCGGCTGTTTCATGGCCTGCTTTCGAGTTGAAGGTTGTTTTATGGACAGTTTTATACTGTTTGCTATATCCCTGAGCTTGCTTGAATGACCTTTTTCTATTGATCTTTTTATTGTGATTGCAAGTCACCTCGCGCAGGACCATGGAAAGCTGCCATAACAACCTCCTAAATAAAACACAGTAACGATTCTGCTGAAGTTCTAGAAAACAGGTATAACAGGAGGCTGTGCTTTTGAAAATGGCAGCTGTGTGCTCCTTACCACGAGAGGGACTCCTGGTCTAACACAAAAAGCCACTATCATTCTGATAATTTAAACCAGGAGTCTCCAACCTGATTAAGTCTGTGGGCACCTTTGAAATTCTGACACAGGGTGGTGAGCACAACCACAAAATGGCAGCCATGGGAAGGAGAAGAAGGGATTGGATTTATACCCCGCCCTTCACTTGGAGTGGCTTACAATCTCCCCCCCCCCAACAACTGACACTCTGTGAGGTAGGTGGGGCTGAGAGAGCTCTTTTGAGGACTGCTCTTTCAAGAACAGCTCTGAGAGAACTTGTTAACTGACCCAAGGTCACTCCAGCAGATGCATGTGGAGGAGTGGGGAATCAAACTTGGTTCTCCCAGGTTAGAGACCACACTCCTAACCACTACACCAAACTGGCTCTCCCACAAAGTGGCCACCGTGGAGGCAGAGCCAACCACACGCACACAGAGGAAGTCCAAGGGCGGGGGACGAGAGGAGTCAATGTTGAAAAGATAGAGGGAAAGGAAAGAGGTGTCAGAGAGAGAATAAAACCAGCACTGTGGTGGCGCGGCTGATGCCGAAATGTCATTTTAATCTGCACAGCCAATCAGAAGCCCTACTGGGCAAGAGGCCACCTGCACCCCCCACGCTTTTAAAAAACACTTGGTGGGCACCAGGAGAGGTGTTGGCGGGCACCGTGGCATCCCCAGGCACTGTCCTGGGGACCCTGCTTTAAACTCTGCCCTGCTGTCAGTGCCCCCTTGTTCAAACCACCATCAGCAGCCGCCGAAGTCAGGAGGACACCGCCTGTCTGATCACAAAGAGCAAAACACCCGGCTCACTTACCATTGGTCTCTGACTTTTTCCCCGCTGCTGTTACCTGTGTATTAAAGAGAGTAGCGCAAGTTGAAAGGTCAGATGAATATCTACAACAGATCAATCTCGACAACGCTATTTAAGCCCCCAACAGAGCAGCACAGCCATACTGGACTGACCCCACGGCAGCAGATTTTTAGGGTCTGGGACAGGAGTCTTCACCAGAGAGACGCTAAGGCCAGGTTGCTAGGGACTGACCCCGAGACCCTCTGCATGCAAGGCATGTGCCCCAGGCCCATAGCTATGGTGAGGCTTTGGGGGGCTCTGCCACCTTTCTTAAAGGCACAGTCCCACAAAAATGTCTCCTGTAAGTGCTTTTTCCCAATCATTTAAAAACTTTTTTTAAAGGCACGCACTCCTTTAAGCAGAGTGGGGTGCTGTAGTTGACTCATTCCCACGCTGAGCAAAGGGCTTGGAGTAAGTGACCCCTAGGATCCCTTCTAATTCTGTGTCAGGAAACTCGTCTCCTTGAAGAGAGTTTTTCTGCCCAAGCGTTAGCTTTCTTGACTATAGAAGTCATCACTCCCACCTGCCGGCTTGTTATCAGAATTGCTGCTTAAGCTAGCAAAAGTGATTAACTTGCAGCAGCTGAGAACTGTCATCTAAAGTGGTTGACAGCTTGCAATTTAGAGATCTATCCTGGTTAACAGCCTTCTATTGGCTAAATGGCTTTTCTTTCTGCACTGAGAAGTTCAGGCCTACCAGAAAAAAATCTGCCCCACAAACCACAGAATCCTGGCTACAGGCCTGACACGCCCTCTTTGAGAACTCCCCCACCTCCATCCCCACCGCTGAGCTGCCCTTGCATGTCGATCAATGCCAAACATGGAAAGGTACCTTTGTGGGAGACGAGGCCTTTTCCACCGACTGCTTCTCCCAGAGGTTGCGTTTGCCAGATACATCTCCGGGTCTCAAGTCCTATTTCAAGTTGAAAAACAAACCGATGAGTTTGAGAAAAGAGAAAAGCAATTATGTGCAGACCTATATAAATTTAGATAAAGCCGATTACTGCGCACCGAGGTGACCCTTCATAACAGTCCCCTTTTAGCCAAATGGACTCGAACGCGCATGGAAAGGTGGTTCAGATGGGGAGTGCAGGATCAAGGTTTTCGGAGCTTGGCAAGGTAGCTTGTAAAGAGATTTTACCTGACTAGTTTAACAGAAAACAGCCAATCCAAGAGAAGAAGAGAACAGTGGGTATCTTTTACAGGAGATCCATTCACGGAGATCACGGTGGAAGACAGAAGAGAGACAGAAAGCGACTGACTGAGAAAGAAAGAAGGAATCGAGGAAAGGACAGGTTAGACTCAAGTCTGAACTCCTCCGCAGGCCAGTTACTCCCAAGGGCCAACCAGAGGGCATGAAAATACTTTTTCTGGGGGGGGCCTCTTTAACACACTTGGACAAAAGCTTTGAGTGCCGATAGCTAAGAGCATGTGAACTGCGTTGCTCGATCAGACCAAAGGTGTCTGGCTACTCCCTCTCCAACAGTGGCTAGCCAGATGTTGGGACGATTGACCCTTTCTCTGCTTTTCATTTTGCATTCTGCAGATGAGCTTGCACTGCATACACCTGTCGCAATTGTTTCTAATATGCACATTATACATATGTCAGTGCAGTGAAGTTGTAACAGACGTACAGCAACCCCAGCAAGGGGCTTGCAAGGTGAGTGAGAAACAAGAGGTGGTTTGCCATTACCTTCCTCTGCAGAGTCTTCCTTGGTCATCTCCCATCCCGGCTTAGCTTCCGAGATCTGGTTAAATTGGGCTGTCTCGTGCCACCTTTCCTCCCTGTGCTAATTTTACTAATGCACACCTGACTCCGGAAAATATGTACATGTTCTTAACTATCATGAGTAAGGACCATTTATAACACCTCTACTTCGTGAATTAGTGTGGCTGCTGCCAATGCTCCCTGTAAGCTGTGGAGTCTTGTGAGCAAAAATCCTACTTTGTGAGCTACTTGCTTGCGAGGAAGCGATTTGGCTGCTGCATAAATGAGTTTGCTCTGGAGCCACCCCTTCCTGAGCGAAGACAAAAATGTGTGAGCTGGAGGCTAAAAAACTGTGAGCTAGCTCACACTGACTCGGCTTAGAGGGAACACTGGCCGCTACATCCCGCTGTTTCCAGATGAATGTGGGACCATCAATCTTAGACAACTGGGATTTGCCCTCTTGACATACCCTGCTACTTCAAGTAGTCAGGCCACAGTATGGCGCTTCAACAATCTACCTCTTCCTGCCTGGGCTTCAAGTGTGCCAGGCTCCCAGAAAAACAGGCATTTGTACAGAGCGTTAACAGATAACACAGAGATCGGAAATCGACAGAAGAGCTGCACTGTCATTCATTTTTTCCCCCGAAGTTGTTCCGTATCTAAAAATTATATTGCATCCTTCTATAGTGGATTAAGAACTTCTGGAAGGACCTCAGCAAGACTGCCTGAATCTGAGGTTCTGCAGTGGGGCCAGCACAACGATAAGAACTGGGTTGCTAGTCCATATCAAGGCTCCCTCTAAGCTGTGGAGTCTTGGGAGCAAAAATCCTTCTTTGTGAGCGAGCGATTGGGCTGCTGCATAAATGTGTTTTCTCTGGAGCCATCCTTCCTGAGCTCAGGCAAAAATGTGTGAGCTGGAGGCTAAAAAACTGTGAGCTAGCTCACACTGACTCAGAGGCAACATTGGTCCATATGGCTCGGGAGGATGTGGTGAAAGCCTGGAGAATCTCAGACCCTTTTTGTTTTGTTTGACTAGTACAGCCCGTTATGTCAAATATGTGCATGCAAACTTGTTTTCCCATTTCAAAATTTCACCCCTCTTGGCACAAAACTCGTGCTGCCCTTACACAGAATTTTGATTTTTCTTAAACCACGTATACGTGGCCAAATTAGTCCCGCAAGAAGAGAAAAACAGGGCCCCTGAGTTCTTCCTCAGCCATAAGTGAATTCAGAGGTCTCTCTCCCAATGGCAAATCTTGCTGCTATCTGGCAGGCTTTGATGCGCAAGGCAACCCAGGACGCCCGAGAGAAAACATCAATTAGATTATACTTTGGGTTAAGTCTGAGTCCTGAACTTCTGCTGAGAGCTCAGGATTCAGGCAAAAATAAGATTCACAGTTTAAAGACAACTGGAGCCAAAGCAAAAACTGTGAAATAAAGACACTAATCAACATCAAGAATTCTAAGCAACAATATAAGTATGTTGTTAATTTCTTTTTTTTTTATAATGCATTATTTATTGATTTTTACAACAAACATAAAACATGAACATTAAACACACATACTACAAACATACAACATAAACATGGATTCCATAAATCAATACTCCTTTGTTGTGAACCCCTACATTCAAATCTTCCAGCTTATCCGTAAATCTAAACATTCTTCTCTAACCAACTATAAAACTTTCTCCAAGTATTATCATAAACGTCATCTTCCTTCCCATGAAGCTTCATTGTCAAATTATCCAATTCTGCTATTTCAGTTATTTTAACTACAAATTCCATTTTGGACGGTATAACTTCCTGTTTCCAGTACTTTGCGAACAACATCCTGGCTGCCGTTAGCAAATGAATAATCAAATGTATATCTACCTTCTCTAGATGGTCAGGCATTATATTTAACAGAAATACCTCTGGATCAAGCGGAATATACACCTTGGTTATCTGGGCAATAATGCCATGGATTTCTTTAATTTCTTATACAAACATTCACAAATTTGAATATATAATAAACGATTCTTCACAAGCGAGATACACAAATGGTGGACACAATAGATTTTTTTAAGATCCAAAGCGTTACCAGCTCTGTAATGATTTAGAATGTTTTCTTCTCAAAATATAAGAAATTAACAACATACAATATAAGAAATTAACAACATACTTATATTATTGCCTATAATTCTTGATGCTTATTAGCGTCTTTATTTCACAGTTTTTGCTTCGGCTCTAGAGAGCTCAGGGTTCTCAGTCCACTGAAGACACATCAGTGGATGGGAAAACCTGAAACACGTTGAAAACCAAATAACCAGGAAGACATTTTTAGGGAACACCCAGCACCCTTAGTCCCTAAGGCTCCATTTCACTGACTTTGCTGACCGGCTGTCTTGCTGAGACTCAGGGTGGGTTGCACAGATGAGCACCACTGCTGGGAGCCCCTTGTGAGCAGCTGTGTCTGTGCACTCACCCACCCGCTCAAGCCCCAGCCGTATGGCCACCCATGGCGAGTGTGCGGCAAAGCACCCAAACTTCACTCGAGGATTAATGTGACTATTAGAGGGCCTAGTCTGGCATGCAGGGGCTTGTGATGTGGGAGGAGGAGGAAGAGGAGGAGATTGGATTCATACCCCGCCCTTCACTACCCGAAGGAGTCTCAGAGGAGCTTACAATCTCCTTTCCCTTCCCCTCCCCACAACAGACACCCTGTGAGGAGGAAAGAGCTGAGAGAGCTCTTTTGAGAACAGCTCCTGAGAGAACAGCTCTGAGGGAGCTTGTGACTGACTCGAGGTCACAGCAGCAGCTGCATGTGGAGGAGTGGGGAATCGAACCCGGTTCTCCCAGGTTAGAGTTCACGCTCCTAACCACTACACCAAACTGTCGCTACCATCCTTATCTTCTGGAGCTTCCATCTTTGTATCTTTGGAGGCAGACTCAGGAATGAGGTAATTGGTTAATCCTGAGAACCTGGGCGCAGCTGTATAATCAGATGGGAGGGGGAATTAGGAGTAGGAGTTCATATCCTTGGAAAGCTCCATCAAGAGAGATTCCTGATTGGATCCAAAGGACCACCTGATGCCAGAGGGCAAAGAGCTATAATGAGGGTATAGAGCAGGGAGAAGGCATACTAACTTTATGCTGTGCTAGTATGCTTTGATACGTTATGCTTCATCATGATGGACTGCAACGTGTAGAATGTTTTTATGCTACTGTTTGGATTTTTATACTGCAAGAAGATATGCCATCTAAGAGAGCCTGTTTGGTGTTGTGGTTAAGAGTGCAAACTCTAATCTGGGAGAACCAGGTTTGATTCCCTACTCCTCCACCTGCAGCTGCTGGTGTGACCTTGGGTCAGCCACAAGTTCTCTTGGAGCTGTTCTCTCACAAACAGTTCTCAAAGAGCTCTCTCAGCCCCACCTACCTCACAGGGAGTTTGTTGTGGGGAGGGGAAAGGAAGGCAATTTAAGGCACTCTGAGACTCCTTCAGGTAGTGATGGGTGGAATATAAATCCAATCTCCTCCTCCTCCTCCTCCTCCTCTTCTTCTTCTACTACTACTACGTCTACTACCACCACCACCAAGAGGCATTCAATGTAATACACAGAACAGTTAGCTTCTTTATTTTCCTCTGCTGCTAAGCTATAGAGACTGTACTGCATAGTGAAATCCTATTAAAAATATTTGAGTAAACCTTTATATATATTTTAAGGTCTGCTTTATTTGTGTGCATTTAACCTTGAGGAGTCACTGGGCTGGGGACTGCTCAAGGTGCAAGGAGCGCTATCCCGGGGGGGGGGAAGGATGATGACCCAGGCTTGGGTCTCAAACAGCGAGGGAGCAGCAGCAGTGCCATTGGTGATGTCAAAGGCAAGGAGGAGGAGCTCATCCCAATGCAGGAAGTAGCAGTGATTTTTTTGGGAGGGGGGCCACCAGAGGTGTGCCCACTGAGGGCATCTTACCCAAACTACCCAAAATCTGGAGCTGCTGGCATTGCCCTTTGGCAAGGCTATTTTTGGGTAGGAACGCACAGGAACAGAGTTCTGGCTGGGTTCAGAGTTGGCCACGCCCACTACAGCCAAAACCTCTACGTGCACGGCTACAGAGGGAAGGCCTGGAGAGCGACCTCCCTGGCGACTTCAAGGCGGGCCGGCCAGGGGGGCCCCTGGAAGGATCGGGGGGGCATTTAAATGCCTTTCTGTGCCTTCCCCGGCCTGTCCAAGGGCTGGCTTGCCTGAGCTCCCCGCAGCCGCCGGGCAAGCCAAGGGAAGGCATGGGGGCGTGGTCTAACATGCTAATGAGCTGTATTGCCAGGGGTGTGGCCTAATATGCTACTCCCGGGCTCCCCACAGCTCCGGGCAAGCCAAGTTTGAACTGCCTTCCCACAGCTCCGGGCAAGCCAGTTTAAACTGCCTTCCCTTCAAGCTGCGGGGATGCCCGGGCAAGCCAAGGGAAGGCATGGAGATGTGGCCTAATATGCTAATGAGCTGTGCTGTCAGGGTGTGGCCTAATATGCTAATGAGTTTCTGCTGTTGGGTGTGGCCTATTGTGCTAATGAGTTCCTGCTGGGCTTTTTCTACAAAAAAAAGGCCTGCCCTCTGGAATGGTATCAGCACTCTTCCTGTTTCCCATATACCATTTGTATACTACTTTCACCTCCCCATCCCCGAAGGGGCCAATTGATGGTCAAAAGATAAAACTATTGAATACTAAAAAAAAGGCTTACTGAAGGTTTTGGAGCAGGCGATTTGTTGTTTTCTGGGGTCTTAGTTAGCCATTCATTGATACGACTGGAGACTCCGACCTTTAGCCCAGCAGTTTCCTGTGGAATATGTAGAGGTGTCTTAGTAATACGAATATATATAAATAATTGCTAATGGATTTGAGTCATCAGGTTCCAGTAGTCCATGTAAACACACTCCTGTTATGGGGGGGCTTTTCTTCCACTTTTTTTTTTTTTAAACAAATCTTTACTTATATGGTAACATCACTTAAGAACATAAGAGAAGCCATGTTGGATCAGGCCAATGGCCCACCCAGTCCGACACTCTGTGTCACACAGTAGCCAAAACCCAGGTGGCTTCAGGAGGGGCCAGAACTCCAGCAGCCCTCCCACTGTGGCCCCCCAAGCACCAAGAATATAGGGCATCACTGCCCCAGACAGAGCATTCCATCTATGCCTTGTGGCTAATGGCCACTGATGGACCTCTGCCTCATACATGATGTTTTACAGATTATCATATATGCGTGCGGAAAGACAAATCTTTGCCTCATGGAACTTAAAAACAAAGTTGCATGGGGGGGGGAGGAAAGGTTAAATGGGCAATTTTCTCAGTTATATATACACACACACACACACACACACACACACACACACACCAGTTTTCCATACAGCCATACAAACACCATACGCTAAAAAAGGAAAAAGAAATTCCTTATAATAGCATGAAACAAACAGCAAGCTATTTGAAAAGCAAATCAGCAAGAGACCAAGCCCAGCCCAGAGGGGAGTGAGAGAGAAGAAGCCGTCAACAGGCGGGAGTGTTAGAGATTACAAGGGATGAAGGCGAGCAAAATGTCGCTGAGGGTGCACAGTCTTTGCTTTGATGGGGATGAGCACTAAGGAGTTACTACAACAGCACACCCAAAGTGGCACGTTTACAAGATTATGCATGGGATAAAGCAGGTAGAGAATGACATACTTTTCTCCCTTTCTCACAAGACAAAAACTCGTGGGCACTCCATGAAATTGCTGAGCGGTCGGGTTAGAACAGATAAAAGGAAGTACTTCTTCACCCAAAGAGTGATTAACACATGGAATTCACTGCCACAGGAGGTGGTGGCGGCTACAAGCATGGACGGCTTCAAGAGGGAATTGGATAAACATATGGAGCAGAGGTCCATCAGTGGCTATTAGCCAATAGACAGCACTCACTGGAGAAGACCCTGATGCTGGGAAAGATTGAAGGTCAAAGAAGAAGGGGGCGGCAAAGGATGAGATGGTTAGACAGTGTCATCGAGGCTACAAACATGAAATTAAGAAAACTCCGGAGCACGACAGAAGACAGGAGGGCCTGGTGTGATGTGGTCCATGGGGTCGCGAAGAGTCGGACTCGAATGTGCGACTCAACAACAACAACATAGACAGGAACTCTCATTCTGGGGCAAGTGATGCTCTGTATTCTTGGTCCTTGGGGTGGGGTGGGGGACAGTGGGAGGGCTTCTAGTGTCCTGGCCCCACGGGTGGACCTCCTGAGGGCACCTGGTATTTTTGGCCACTGTGTGACACAGAGTGTTGGACTGGATGGGCCTTTGGCCTGATCCGACATTGGCGTCTCTTATGTTCTTATGAGTTCTGTCCCTTCAAACAAGCAGGTCCAAAGCTCTAGTCTAAAAGGCTGAACTAAGAGGTTCTGTCACTTTCATCAACATACAGCACCGGAGTCTTCTGGATGCATTTCAATTTCCCACCCTCCGCCCCCCGTTATTCGGTTGGTGCTACTTATTATTCCGTCGGCATTTCTACCAACTACTGTTTAGAATCAGGCTAAGACGCCATGACACCCAATGCCTAGCATGTGTTGAGTGTCACCAAGTTGCTTCCAGCTTATGACGGCCCAATGAATCGATGACCTCCAAAACATCCCCTCGTTAACAGCCTTGCTCAGGGCTTGCAAACGGGTGGCCTTGATGGAGTCCATCCATCTCATGTCGGGTCTGCCTCTTCTCCTGCTGCCTTCAACTTTCCCCAGCATTATTGTCTTTCCCAGCGAGTCTTGCCTTCTCATTATGTGACCAAAGTACAATAGCCTCAGTTCAGTCATTTTAGCTTCCAGGGGGAGTTCAGGCTTGCTTTGAGCTGGAACCCACTTCTTTGTCTCTTTGGCGGCCATCAAACTCTCTTCCAACACCACATTTCAAAGGAATCGACTTAGGACGACGTACCTTATTGGGCGTCCCTGTGCCGGAGGGCGAGGAGAACACATTGCCTTTCTCCCACATGCTCTTAATATTACGGACTCCCTCGGCAGGAACCGGGAGGTCAGACGGGGCTGCCTTGACAGGCCGGGCAGCCTTCGTGCCCTGGAAGAAACAGCGGGTCAGTCACACGAAATGTCATGGTGGGGGAGGAGCAGGGCCTAAGTTTTCACCCTGGTATTCATGTTGCTCCTGCCTTCCCTCTCCCGACATTCCTCACATTGTTCTTCCCCGTCCCCTCTCAGAATTCTCTTCACTGCAGGCCCTTGCACGGGGCAGCCTGTCAGGACTAGGCCGGAAGCCTTCCCGCCAACCCAAGAATTAGCTTCAGGAAAGAAGGGCGGGGAAAGAGACAACACCTGACTAAAACCAAGCCAGGGCAACCCCCTCAGCTTCATTTGGCGCCTCCAATACCAAATCCGCACCAGCTTTTCAAACATGTCAACAGACTGCAAGATTGGTGAACCACTTGGAGGGACGAACACCACAGAGAAGGAGCAGCCACTGAAATGGCTCTTTTATTTTTGTAGTAGTTGACTTAATTTGAAGAAGAATTAGAGAAGAAGAGATTGGATTTATACCCTGCCCTTCATGCGAAGTCTCAGAGCAGCTTACAATCTCCTTTCCCTTCCCCGTCCCACAACAGACACCCTGTGAGGCAGGTGGGGCTGAGAGAGCTCTGAGAGAACTGCTCTTGAGAGAACAGCTTCCAGAGAACTGTGACTAACCCAAGGTCACCCAGCTGGCTGCATGTGAAGGAGGAGTGGGGAACCAAACCCAGTTCTCCAGATTAGAGTCCACTGCTCTTAACCAGTTTTATTTTTTGGGGGGGGGAGGTAGTATGAGGGAATAGATACAGCAGGAGGAAATCTTAAAGGGTTTTATTTATTTATTTAAAACACTTATTCACCACCTGTCCACCTTTCTAAATGGGTATGAAATTAATAGAACAACATCTCAACTCCAGAATTATGACTGAAGGGGGCTTACAACTGAAGGGGGCTTACAAGGTAAACAATAACAGCAGAATAAAATACATAAGAAGCGCTAGTTTTAAATCAGTAATTTAAAACTGCTGGTGGACATGGAAACTGAGACTAATCAAATCCTGTCATGAATAAAACTGTCTTCAGCTGCCTCCTAAAGATCCAGAGTGAGGGAAGAGTGCTTCACAATCGTGGGGCTGTCACTGAAAAGGCCCTCTCCTGTGTACCCAGTAGTCGAGCTCCTTTGATAGATAACCAAGTCTCAAGCTTATTTAGGGCTCTGAAGGGCAAATCCAGCACTTTGAACTATGGGAGTGGCCTTGGAGCTTTATGTGTTCAAGTCATGTACCGATCTACCGACCTACACACACCCCTGGACTGAAACCCAAGAAGCAAGACCTGGATACCAATCTAAACAATTATCTAACCTGCTTACGTGCCATTTCCTTGAAAGGCATGTATCCTATCGGTGCGTAGCAGTGTTCCCTCTAAGCTGTGCATGTGAACGGCCGCTCATTAACACAGGAAGCCCTGCTCAGCAGCAGTGTGGAAACACAGAGGGTCTGGCACTGCCCACTTTAAGATTACAGCAATTATATTCTGCTCCGGATGTGAACTGCTCCGCTCGGTATGGGGGGAAAATAGAGGGAACGTTGGGGTGTAGATGTGTTTTATTAAACTGTGCTAGTCAAAATATTCGTATATATGCTTTATATAATTGTTACTGAGATGCAAACACATTCTGTTAAGAAACGTATGGACACGTGTTGCTCCAGACCAGCCCCCCCTCCCCTGGACTGTTCCACGGGTCCATGACTGCAATGGTCAATCAGGGAAGTTCTAAAATTCTGGTCAACTCACCTCAATTGCACTTGTGTACTGCTCAAGCCTGCTGTCAATCTTGGAGACGACGGCTGTCGGAGTAGGCTTCGACCCACTGTGCAGAAAAAGAATGATAGAAAACCGGTTTGAGTCTTTTCACCCAACTCAGAATGCTTTACAGTGCTGTCTTTGGTAGGGCAAGGCCTCCTTACCTCTTTTGGGCAGATTTGTTCAAGAATTCCGCACGTTCTTCTATCTAGGAAAATAAGAAGAGAGAGGGAAGTGAGAAAACAACAACAACAACATATTGTGGTTGCCAAGGTGAGAGAGTCCGTTAAAAAGATAAGAAGGTTGAACGGTTTGTAGAGGTGTAAGAAAGAGAAACGGAACATAACACACAACAGCAGAACTCCAACACAAAGACTGAGCCAGTCATATTCTCTTCACTGCAAGAAAGCCACTTAAACACAGGGCTACCTTGGATAGTGGATTTCTGAGCAAAAAAATATTTGAGCAAAACAATCATCAGTGTTGGCATGAATTATTCCCAAAGGGTAGCAGAGGTCACCCATTGAAGCAAGAACAGCCACAAGTTTAAGAATCATAGAGTTGGAAGGGGCCAATAGGCCATCTAGTCCCACCCCCTGCTCAATGCAGGATCAGCCTAGAGCATCCCCACAAGGGTTTATCCAGCTGCTGCTTGAAGACTGCCAGGGAGGGGGAGCTCACCACCTCCCCAGGCAGCCGATTCCACAGCTGAACGACTCTTCCTGTAAAATGAGTTTTGCAACTCTTGGGGTGGCAGAAACTCTCACTGTCTAGAGCCCACCGTGTTGGATGCCGGATTTGTAATTTGATTATTCAAAGGTAGCATTTACAGGACATGTGCTGTCCTCTTGAGAGGCATACATGAAATTCCCAGCCACGCTGACTGACTGTCATAATTCAAGAGTTGAGATGTTGTTCTATTAATTTCATACCCAGTTAGAAACGTCCACGTCCATTTCAGCCCCGGAAGATCATGTGCCAACACTGCAGCTGCCCTTTTTGCCTGAGGAAGGCAGACTGTGTAGGCACAGCTCTGGGACACGACTGTGTGATATTCTTAATTTGGATTACAAGGTCGGGGGACAAACTGGGTAAGACGCTGAACTGCAGGCTGTGGAAGGTCAGTAGTTCAGCAGTTCGAGACCCGGGTGCCACATGACGGAGTGAGCTCCCATCTCTAGTTCCAGCTCCTGCCAACCTAGCAGTTCGAAAGCAAGAAATTGCAAGTAGATAAATAGGTACCACTTCGGTGGGAAGGTAACAGCGTTCCGTGTGCCTTGGTGTTTAGTCATGCCGGCCACATGACCACGGAAACATCTTCGGACAGCGCTGGCTCTTCGGCTTTGAAACGGAGATGAGCACCGCAACCCTAGAGTCGGATTCGACTGGCTTTGGAGCAAGGGAACGTTTACCTTTACTAAATTCATGTGCCAAACAAGTCATTTCCTAACAGTGGTGATCTCACTAATTCTGTAGCTTCAACAGTCCTAGGAGGAGGAGAGCAAGAAGGGATCTACTCAGACAGTTACTCCTGGGAGCCCTGACCTGGATGGCCCAGGCTAGCCTGCTCTTGTCAGATCTCAAAAGCTAAGCAGGGTCGCCCCTGGTTAGTAGTTGGATGGGAGACCATCAAGGAAGCCCAGGGCTGTAACACAGAGGCAGGCAATAGCAAACCCCCCCTGGACTTCCCCTCCCTTGAAAAAGCTACAGGGTTGCCAGGAATGCTCCCTCTAAGCTGTGGAGTCCTGTGAGTAAAAATTCTACTTTGTGAGCTCCTGGCATTAAAGTTGTGAGCGAGCGATTTGGCCACTGCATAAATTAGTTTGCTCTGGAGACGCCCTTCCTGAGCTAAGACAGAAATGTGCGAGCCGGAGGCCAAAAACCTGTGAGCTAGCTCACACTAACTCAGCTTAGAGGGAACACTGGTTGCCAATAAAGATTGCAGAATTCCAAAGGTTTTTTATTCATTTCCTTCTTGACCACAACTGCAGGACATTGCTTTCTGTTGCCACAAGATGGCAGCAATGAAACAGTATTGAACTGGAGAAAATACATCTTAAAAATCTGCCCTAGAAATCCCTTCTTCCCTTCACTTGGGTCAATTTACACAAAGACAAGGGACATTCCTACAGATAGCAGCTTCGTTAACAAAAATCACGCAGGCCGCATGTCGATTGTCACGTGCAACAATCACGTTGGATCCTCACTGTTACACGTGTTACAAAGCCAAAGCCCTCCGCGGAGAGATAAATGCAGATGGATGTGGTTGTTACGCATGACAATCTACATAAACTTCCAAGCTTTTCTCTCCTACACACGATTTATCACATGAGGAAATGCTTCACCACTGAAGAAGCGCGAAGAAGTGGGCATTCTGCCCTCCTCTCATTGCCTACATTCCTCCCTGCCTGCTGATCGATTCCCACACTTTTTTCCTGGATTCACTGAGCATCTTTCATACTAGACACTCTTGGCCTCCCTGTTTTCCATCTGTAAAATGGGGGGAACTGTTTTCCAGAATATGACCAAAGTAAGTAAAGGTAAAGGTTTCCCTTGCTCGAAAGCCAGTCGAATCCGACTCTAGGGTTGCGGTGCTCATCTCCATTTCAAAGCCGAAGAGCCAGCGCTCTCCGAAGACGTTTCCGTGGTCACGTGGCCGGCATGACTAAACACCAAGGTGCACGGAACGCTGTTGCCTTCCCACCGAAGTGGTACCTATTTATCTACTTGCAAAGTAGACCAAAGTACTTAATGCATTAATAAAGGATGTGGACAGAATGGCGCGGGTGCAGAGGAGAGTGATGAGGATGATCGGGGGAAGGGGGGGGCTGAAGACCAAGCCCTGCGAGAAAAGGCTGAGGGACTCGGGAACGTTCAGTCTGCAGAAGAGGAGGCTGGGGGGGGGGCGTGATTGCTCTCTTGAAGGATTTGAAGGGCTGTCACTCGGAGGAGGGCAGGGAGCTGTTCCTGTGGGCAGCAGAGGAGAGGACTCACAAGAATGGGTTTAAATTAAAGGCGGGAAGGTATTGGCTGTCTATGAGGAAAAACTTTTTGACAGTTGGGGGTGTGCCACAGTGGAATCAGCTGCCCGGGGAGGTGGTGAGCTCCCCCTCACTGGCAGTCTTCAAGCAGTGGCTGAACAAACCCTTGTCAGGAAGGCTCTGGGCTGATCCTGCACTGAGCAGGGGGTCCGGACTACTAGATGGCTTTCAGGGCCCCTTCCAGCTCTGTGATTCTCTGATCCTAATTATATGCTGTGTGTTTTGTTTGGTACGTACATGATTCCACAGTGCAAGCCTACGGTGCTTTCACCCGCTTCAGATCTGTGCCCTTTCAGCTCTTGAGCTGTGCTTGCGATAGAACAGGAATTCCAACGGCGGTCACCATATCTGGGTTGGCCTGTTCCTATGCAGGAGTTAAATGGCTGCGGGAGGAATGTATAAAGGCACGGAATAGCTGGGGCCCTTAAACGAAGGCAGCGTATCCCGTGGGCTCCGTCCTTTAATCCCTCTGAGGTCTGCCCCTGAGCGGGCCAGCCCTGGGACACCGATGCCGACCCTCCATTCCTCTTCACTCCTCCAGGCCTCTTCCAGAACAGCACAACCAGCCTCACATGCCCTGCGGGGCTCTCTGGGTTCTCCTGAGAGGCAGCCACGCTCCCGTGAGAGGAATGAATCTCACAGGGCTCAAGGAAGCCTTATAGCTGTGGGTATGTTCAGTCTGGAGAGGCGACCACTGAGAGGGGATAGGATCGCCATCTTCAAGTCCTTGCAAGGGCTGCCATGTGGAGGATGTCTTCTCTTGCCCCGGAAGGTCAGATCAGAACCAACAGGTCGAAATTAAAGCAGAAGAGTTTTCGGCTAAAGGTTCCTCAGTGGAACAGGCTTCTTCCTCAGGAGGTGGTGGGCTCTCCTTCTCTGGAGGTTTTTAAGCAGAGGCTGGATGGCCACCTGACAGCAATGCGGGTTTTGTGAACATGGGCAGATTGTGAGGGCAGGAAGGGATGAGCCAGGGCCCTTTCTTACATGCCCTGGGTGATGCCAATGGCCACTTGGGGGTCAGGAAAATTTTTTCCCCTCCAGGCCAGATTGGCCCAGCAATCCTGAAGGATTTTTGCCTTCCCCTGAGCATAAAGCAGGGGTCACTGGAGGAATAGGTTGGGGAGGAAGTTGTGAATTTCCTGCACTGTGCCAGAGTTTAGACTAGCTGTCCCTGGAGGCCCCTTCTAGCCCTGTGCTTCTATTGGGTATGTGCAGCTTGATGTAAACAGGTCTGGAGGAGAGAGCAGACGGGAACTGGCAGCAAGGAGGAGAGAGAGAGCCAGTTTGGTGTAGTGGTTAAGTGTGCGGACTCTAACCTGGGAGAACTGGGTTTGATTCTCCACGCCTCCACTTGCACCTGCTGATATGACCTTGGGTCAGTCACAAGCTCTGGCACAGCTGTCCTTGAAAAAGAGCCGTTTGTGTCAGAGTTCTCTCAGCCCCACCCACCTCACAGGGTGTCTGTTGTGGGGAGGGGAAGGGAAAGGAGCTTGTAAGCCACTCTGAGACTCCAAGTGAAGGGCGGGGTATACATCCAAACTCTTCTTCTTCTTCTTCTAAGAGGAAAGGTGGGGCAATGGGAGGGAGTCAGAGGAGGGACAAGCGTATGGCACAAAACGTTCAAGGAAGGACCCCCCCCCTGGTTTGAAAAGCAAAGCTTCTGCTGGTCACAGGCCACGGGTGTCAAAACGTACATGCCCAAGAAGATCTGACTACAGGAGGCAACCTTGTCAACATCTCAACATACCTCACAGGTTTGCTACAGGGATAAAATGGGGGGGGGGGGGAGAGACCAGGAACACCAACCCCAC